GTAGGTACAACTATTCACACAATATAACTGTTGTGTTCGACGAGAAACAAAAATATATATGTTACATGAAAGGAAAGAACATGTGAAGGTATTTATTTAAAGAACAAAATAAATATGAATATAATTTATTTTTAGTTTCTTTTTTATTATTAACAACACTCAGTGAGTTAATTTTTCTTTTTCTATGTCCAGCACAGTAGAGCAAAATCTTGAAGATTTAACTATCGTATGGCTTGATCATAATATAGACCATTTTTCCGATAGAAAAGTTCGATTATGTCGTATTATAAATTATTTAAAAATATTTGACAATATTGAACAATGTATAAAATATATCAAATCTATTCAAATAGAAAAAATATTTTTTATTGTATCCGGTACATTAGGAAAAGATATTATTCCTATCGTTGTTGATGAATCACAAATCGTGTTTATTTACATATTTTCTTTCAAAAAAGATGAACATGAGCTATGGTCTAATAAATATAAAAAGATTCGCGGTGTATTTGTTGATAATCACTCATTATTTGATCAATTAACTGATGATGCACGATTATTTGCACATCAGTTAGGAGCAATAAATATCTTTAATGAACAAAATGTTAAAGAAACTTCCATTCAATGTTTAACGAATGAACAAGGAAAATTTATATGGTTTCAATTAATTATTGAAGTATTATTTAGAATGCCGCAGAATATCAAAGCTAAATCAGAACTGATAAGTGAATGTCAGTTACAATATGAAAATAATTCTTTTGAACAAAAAAAGATTGATGAATTTAATAAAAGTTATTGCTCACATGATGCTATTCGTTGGTATACAAGAGATTGTTTTCTCTATCGTTTATTAAATAAAGCATTTCGAACAGAAAATATTGATACCATATTTAAATATAGATTTTTCATTAGTGATATTTATAATCAATTAAAAATACTACATTCACAATATTTACAGACATTATCATCTCGTGAATCAATTTTAACGGTTTATCGCGGTCAAATGATGTCAAATGAAGAATTACAAAAATTAATTAATAATGTTGGTGCTCTCATTTCAATAAGTACATTTTTTTCTACAACTCGATCCTCAGAAGTGGTAAGTACCTTTGCCGGTGATCAATTACAAATTTCCGGTTATAAATCTGTTGTTATTGAAATTGATCTCGATCAAAATATTGATACAAAGCCGTTTGCTGATATTTCAAATGAAAGTTATAGCAAAAATGAAAACGAAGTTTTAATAGCTATAGGAACTGTCTTTCGTTTGGAATTTGTTGAAAATCTTTGCGACACATTATGGTATGTCAAACTGACATTGACTAATGATCTTGATCGACATGTAAAAGAGATAATCAAGCACTATAAGCTTGAAATAGGTCATACATCTGATATAGGCACGTTAGGTAGATTTCTGGCTCATATGGGAGAGTATGAGAGAGCCGATCGATATTATAATTTAGCATTAAACGAGTTATTAGATGTTGATAATAATTGTTATAATCCAAACGATCTTGAAAGGATGTTAGTCAGCTGTAAACAAGCTCTTGACATTGAACAAAATGCTGTATCATCAAACAATTTTATAGAAATTTGTGTTATATATGCAAATATAGCAACCATTTATCATTTCACAGAAAATTACTTACTTGCTTTGGAAAACTACGAAAAACTTTGTGAACTTTTTGAACGTTATCAATCAAATCAACATTTGTTGCTTGCTACTCTTTTAAATAATGTTGGACAAATTCATCGATCCTTAACTGATAATAAAAAGGCATTGATATATCATGGAAAAGCACTTGAACTTCAAGCAGCTTATTTTCCGCAATGTAGACGTTGTGATCTTGGATTAACTTATTTATTTTTAGGACGAGTTTATCACGACATGGGTGATCGTAAAGTTGCTAAGCGATTTCTTGATAGTTCATTAAAATATTGTTTAATGGATTTACCTGAAAATCATCCAAATATTTCTACAATATACGGCGCTCTAGCCGAACTTCAAGGTGATATGGGAGAATATTCAGCATCATTACAGTATTATGAAAAATCTCTTACGATGATCATTGATTTTTTACCTCCCGATCATCCTCGGTTAGGTGCTTTATATACGAATATAGGAAAGCTGCGACAAGAACAAGGTGATTACACAGTGGCACTTCTAAATTATGAGAAAGCGCTCACTATACTCCTGAAACATTTGCCCGAAAATCATCAGAATATTGCTGCAATTTATATAAATATGGGAGTTGCGTATGATAGAAAAAAAGATTTTTCAGAAGCGTTGATAAACTATAAAAAAGCTCTTGATATAAAATTATGTTTTTTACCATCAGCAGAGCATCCTGATTTAGTGTCACTTTATACAAACATAGGTGTTGTTTATAATAGTATGCATGATTATGCAATGGCATTAAAATACCACAGAAAAGCACATGAAATTGAACTAATACAACCGTTACAAAATAAAAATTTACTTTCAAAAATTCACAATAATATAGGAATGGTATATAGAAATATGAAGGATTATGAAACAGCATTAAAAAATTGTATTCAAGCGCTTGAAATTGAAATGAAATTAAACCCGTATAATCCATTAGCTTGTGCCAAAAGTAATAACAATATTTCGGCAACTTACTGTGAGAGTGGCAACTATTCATTGTCATTCTTACATTGCGAAAAAGCGCTTGATTTAGCACATAAATCATTACCACCAAATGATCCTTTAATCGCAATATATGAAAATAATATTACATTTGTAAAAGGATATTTGTCAGAGTCACTTGGAAACTCCAGAGCGAATGAAGATGGAATCGAAAGTCAAACACATATACAGAATGACTAAAACATATGTAAAACATTCACGCATTTTATAAGAAGTGAATCAGACAAGTGTATATCAAAATTCCCAACAACAAGGTTGTTTTTCCGAGACTTTATACTAATTTACGATAATGATATATACCATAGGTACAGCTATCAGATTAATAAACTATGATGCAAACATTTTAAAAGAGTGATCTTCTAGGACAATTTTTTTTCACACTGAGGAACCGATTTCAATCAAGAATACCAGAATAGTAGAACAGTAGAATAAGGATAGGAGAATAGGGGAATAGCAGAGTAGGAGAATATTAGCGCTCACCTGTGAAAAAAACAGGAATAGTAGTATAGCAGGATATTGTAAGAGCACATTGTCGGCGCTGAACGGTCATTAGTATGTCTTGTATCGCTATCCGCAGCGACGTTGTAGTTTGTATGTTACGGTTGGCTGTTAAGGAACATATGGCTTTTGTATTGTGTAACTTATGATGACTTATATAACTTTTTTATACTTCTTAGCATTGGACAAACAGCAAACTTGAAGATATTACTAATTCGCTATCTGCTTTTAAATTCTTCGTAGAGCTACTGTTCTACGAAGAAGATAGGATTTTGTAAAGGTCTCAGGAAAAGCCGTTCGGATTTCAAAATTTGAAATAGCAACATATTTGTTTTTTTACATGCCTGAATACTCTCCAGTGTCCTCTAAAAACCGGAAACCGTTCGGAGTCTTCACGCAACATAGTTGTGGCATGGCATCCTCGGAGGGCCAGGACTATTCTCCTCTGACTCCTTGTAATCCCATAAACTAAAAATTAATAACTCGGTCAAAAGTGATGCAGACTACTTCACACCATCGAGATATACTCAGTTTCATCCCATACCTCGAATTCAATGAAGTTTTAAAAATCAATAAAAAATACTTAGCGCTTTGAAAGAACTTTCTGGAAGTGTTTGGAAATAGCGAGGTTTTATACTAATCTTAAGTAGAGAATCAGGTTGGCGTTAGGATTATCAAGAGTCAGAGGAGAGCAGTCCTGGTCCTCCCAGGAAACCTTATGCGACGCCGCAACCATGTTCAATGAAGACTCCGGATTCTTTCGGTTTTTTAGAGGACACTGGCGACTATTTATCCATGAAAAAAAGAAAATCCGTTGCTAATTCAAATTTTGAAATCCGGACGGATTTTCCTGAGGCCTTTTCAAAATCCTATCTTGTTTTTTACCTTCTGTATTACAAAGCACTATGCCACTGAATTTCATTTAGAATAAGTTTTACTTCGATATATAACAAATATGTGTACCTGTGGGGGTTTAGGCCGCACCCCTAGAACAGGCCTCGCAGTGGCCTTCATAAGTTATCAGGACAGGATTTCCAGCAGGAGAAATCAGAAAATTTAATCAGGAAATCAGGATTTTCGTCGAAAATCAGGATTGAAAGAGGTTTACCGAAAGACGTACATCTACATCCTCAACAATTTCATGTGACTTACAGCAGATCAATATGCAAAGTCAAGCTATCAAGAAAGTCACAATGGGCCAGTGGCTCGATCGCGATTCTGACAATGTATGCGGTAAACATCGATAAATAAAAAGAACAATGAACAAACGAGAAATGAATGTGTATGTACGAAAAAATCGTAAAAGTGTATATATGAAAAGCTACTGCGATTCGTTGATAGCCATTCAACAAGGAGAGTTGATGGTTCAGCGGACTATCAGCTTGTAGCCCTAACTTCTGTTTGATGATTCTTTTTCCTTGTACGATAATGGCACCTAATTTTGTATTAAAAAAATGACTTTTTCCCATATATTCATCAACAATTTTAGTTCATAAAATTGTTGGTGGATATATTTATATATTTATATATATATATATATATTCTACAAACAAGACAAGCAACGCGGTCATTGAAAAACCAGTGTCATCATCGATTCAAGATGGAATTTCTGAAACGCCTCTACCTAGACTAAACTGGCATCTTCAAGGGAAATGACCTAGTTTCGAAAAGCAACAAAAATTAGGATTTTTTGCCAAAATCAGGACGAATCAGGACGACTTAAAAAATTCAGGAAATCAGGACCGCTGCGAGGCCTGCCCTAGAAAGCACTGTTCTACTATTCTCCTATCCTACTCTTCTACTATTCTGCTATTCTAATATCCTATTATTCTAGTCTTCTACTATTCTAATATTCTATTACTGTAGTCTTTTACTATCCTAATCATTTCTATTCAACAACTTAATTCATAATATAATGAAGTAATGCAAATTATGCACTAATAATATGGTTTAAAATATTCTTCTATTCTACTTAGTATCATCAAATTCTAAGTGCCCAATAGAATACTAAACCAAGTGAAAATTTCTATCTAATGGAAATTTGCCCAGCTCTGCGGAAGTTAGTCAATGATGCCGGAAAACAATCACTCAGCTTAAGTTTTATAGTCTCAAACAGTACATTACCGTTTCATACATAACTCTTTCAATGCTTCGAATACATAGGTATCATGCATAATGAAGAAGTGAAAGTTGCATACTGACAGAAGAATGTTAGAATCTGAAATTTTTAATGCATCTCATTACCTTGAAATCATCATACATACGAATAAATACATCAAGGAGAAGATGCTCTATGATACTCTTGAAAAAGATTTTTAGATCGATAATATTTGATGTTTCATCTATTAAGAAAATATTATTAACCTATCCTAGGTCTATCAATGAATTCGTGTGCTATTTAATAGTTTATTATTTAAGTTCAATTTGTGAAAAACAGACGTCGGATGACTCTCTCTTCGAAGACGGCAAAGAGAGTCCCAAATTCAATGTTGTATCTAAATTAGCCGTTTATTTCTCTCTGATAGTGGAAATGAGCATTCTGTATTTGTCCTCAAAGTAATGTTTCCTGTTTTCATTTGATCTTACATAAAGGCAATATTCATAAACAAGATAAAAATCCGATTGTCCATAGTAATGTCGAAAGGAAAAATATCGAAGGTAAAAATGTCGAAAGCGGCCGACCAATGTCGAAGGAGATATATCGAAGCGGAATAATATCGAAGTGAAAAAATACCGAAATAAGAAAATGTCAAAGTGGAAAAATGTGTCGAGAAGCTCTTTAGAAAATTCCACATATCTTTGATTTTTGGCATAATACTTTTTTTTAGCATAATTAACATAATAAATATGACAATAAACAACTATTTTAACATAAAACAATAAGAAATGGAATTTATAACAATGTTAGAAAAACAACAATAAACTACAGAGGCTTAGAGTCTGCGTTTACTAGTGACATCATTTTTTTCGATATTTATTTTTCGACATTTTTCCGTTTCGACATTGTCACTCTTCTACATTTATCTGTTCTACATTATTTCTATTCGATACAAGGTAACGCTCATCTCCACTCGCTCGGTCCCCTGACTTTATTAAGTTGGATCTGCGTAAGCGAACGTCCTTTGGTGACTTTTAAATCCAACACAATGCTCACGCCTCCCTTCGTTCGGCGCTCGCTGCGGGCCTAACTAAGGCATCTCGTGGATTTTTGTTGATTTTTTATGTATAAAGTTCGTAGTCTGATATTAATATATAAATCAAGAATCTCTAGAGGTCTAAACATAATTCTGAATTCAAAACAATGCTCACGCCTCTCTTCGGTCGGCGCTCGCTGGAAACCTATCTAAGACATCTTCTGGATTTTTTTCTGTTTTCATGTGTAAGGTTCGTAATCTAATATAAATAGAGCAAAAATCTCAAAAGGTCTAAAACTATTTCTGAATTCAAAACAATGCTCATGCTCCCTTCTGTCTGCGTTCGCAACCAATATGGATGAGAAACGCTATGAACTTCTCTGATTCCACCAAAAAACCATCTAATGTAATATAAAGTTAAAAGGTTTTCTCAAAAACCCTCTGCAGACCCCAAGGAGGTTGTAAGTATTTCTAATCGATTCGTTATAATAGATTATCTATACACAATCAATTTTATTACCCGTAGACCACTTTTTTTGTATTGTCACAGTTGACTGCTATCTGGCGACATCTACTCCCTGCCCACAGAAAACGGTTGCTGAGCTGTTCACTTCTTTGCATCTGTAAATATTTCAGATGATCTCTTTGAATATTTTCTCTCTTATGTAAAAAATAATTTTCTACTGTTGTACCTTGTGATTCGCTTATCCATAGAATATCGAACAGCCATTTTTCCGTATTTTGCGCACAAACACATAGACAACCATTTGTAAGACCCTAGACTAAAGTCAAGGGAATTTAGTTTCGACGTTTTACCCTTCGATATTTTTACGGCACACCGAAAATCCTAAACCCTCAATTTAGCTTTTGAATCATGATTCAGTTCGTTTAGTTTTAATTCAAAATTATACGTTTTAGATCATGTCAGATACATATTTACGGTTGGAATCTTTGTCAAACGAATTATTTTATCTCATTTTTGCCTATTCGTCATCGGGCGACATTATTTACTCATTCTCTAGTCTTAATTATCGTTTCGATGCATTTATCTATCCGTATAAATGCATCATTGATTTATCGCGTACAGCCGCATACATACGCAATTCAGTTTTACCACAAATACATGATACAGTTGAGGAATTAAAATTTGATGGCAGACAATTATCACACATCATTCCATCACCAACAATAACAACAACTGTTCGTGATATTTGCCGTAATTTAACATCATTATCGGTAATAAACGTTGAAAAAAATAGTCACTATTTGCCATATTTAACTTTATTCAAACAGCTCATAGTTTTGAAACTTTATTTTATTAATCAAGCATATATTAGTAAAAAGAAATTGGACATCATCTCCTCAACTATATTTTCTTCTAATTCTATAGTGGAAACATTGTTTATTGAGGGTCTCACATTTTGCATTGACAAAAGAAAAATCACACCATGTCATAGTTTAAAACATTTAACAATTGATGTTCTCTATCAAGATGATATGTTTATTTTATTAAGTCAACTACCATCTGTTGAGTATTTAAAAATATTC